GCCTCAGACCCCGCGCCAGCTGCGAAGGCACCTGTGGCTGTAGGGTCACGGACCTGCATCCTATCCGCCGTCAGCCGGCGTTCCCGCAGGCCAGCACCGAAGATGTACCCCGCACGTCCAGCGTCAGGGTCGAAGACACCTTCGCGGATTTCCTCCAAGAGCGCCAGGAGCAACCTTAGTGGCCGTGCCAGCTCGTCATCACCATAAGTGTCGGCCATCTTCGCCGAGTTGGCGTGACCACCCATGGTTAGCCGATCAAGGTGCTCAACCCCACGCTTTGCAGCCATGGTCAAGAAGGTGCGCTTCATGAGGTGTCCTGTTGTGTTCTTGCTATTGTCACGCCCCAAGACCTTCTGGATCCAAGCAGTAATCTCTTTAGAAGAGACCGAACACCCCATGGCCTCGCCAGCAGCATTGGGCGTAGGCAGCGGCGGCAAGAATGTAAACCGTCCGACCTCCGCACGAGCCTGTTTCCACAAGTGCAGCCAGTTGTCACTGAGAATCCCAACTCCAGGAGCAATGAACCTAACGGGCTCGCCAGCAAAGTACTTGGAATTTACTGTCTTATACACCTCAACAGTGTACACCAAGAAAATGATGTCCCCCTGGCCGTTCGTCTCGATATCAAAGCTGACTGAATGTTGGAAGTCCCCCCAACGCGATCTCATGTAAGTGCAACAGAGAACTGCTCCTGCGAAAGTGCGGTCCCAAGCTGGAACATCCTTGTCCGCAAGCAAATGGTGAAGCTTCTTCAATTCCAGAATGGAGAATGGATGAGCCCTCTTCTTGCCACGCTTCACAGTCCCCCTCTGCGACGCCCCCAGACAGCGACGACTTTCAATCACCCTGTCTAGTTGTGGAACCATGAAAACATGCCGCACGAAGATTATAGCTTCTCGCAGAGCTTTCAGCTGTGACGGTTTCGCCCCACCGGCCTTAGCATCTGACATGTATCGGTACACATCTTGCTCACGATAAGGAAAAGTCCCGTCGCCCCAGCCAACAACTTTGTGATATCCCATAATCGAATTGGCTCTCTTCAACAGAGTGCTCGGCGCCTTGGGATGCAGCCAATCCTGGACCACGTTGATCCTTTGATCTTTCTCGGTGCATTCATCCAGGCTTTGGCATACCAACAAATCAGGACACGTCTCAGACCACTTCACTATGATGAAAATCCATCGAGCAATAGCCTTGTCAGAATCTTGTTGCCGTTGATCCTCCCAGCTCAATCCTTCAGTCTTGCGAACAACAGTAAAGCAAATGCCTTGCGAGAAATCAGCATCCAATACCTTGCGTTTTTTCTCGGCTGGAAGCAGAGTTTCCTCGTCGCCATGATCCCACCCCGGTGGGTCCGGCAGATCGAACCTGTCCTTCCAAGACAAAGGATCCTCCCCTTCGAAGATCTGCTTGAACACTCCAGACTCCCACGGAAGCAGCTTATCCCTAGGAGTGGCTTCCGAGCATGAGTCAACAGCAGAAGCAAGCAGAGTCTTGAAATCGAAATGAGACATGAGCGCTCCCGTATCGCACCCACAGCAAGAGCGCGACACAAGAGGGCGACCCCAGGTCGCAAAGCCACAGCTATCCAGCGGGCCGAGGACTCTGTGTCGCCGAGGCTTGAGAGGCAACTGCCGAATCCACGGGTGACCACTCGCGCAAGTGCCACCTGAGGTCCGCGTGCCACCACCAGCAGATCAACTCAAGCGAATGCCGATCAACTGCGCACAGGCAGTCGCCCACAGAGGCAACCGCCGCTGGAATGCAAAGCAGCCCCTGAAGAGAAGGCTCGATATCGTCCAGCACAGCAGTCGTGTCACTCCGAGGGCTAGCGGACATGCGCAGCTACAAACCTAGCACAAAAGGCAATCCCAAATCTGTGACGTAGGATATGTGAAGTGCAGCACGGCACAAAGCCTGGAAAAGAGCACTGGTTGACAAGCACCTGCAGTACGCCGAAGTGTCCTAGCACAAATGAGTGGCGTGAGCAGTCTATGTTGCCATGCAAGTGCCCGCCACATGAACATCGGTTTGGGATGCATCTGGGCAGGCGCGCAGACAACATGAAAGTTTGTCATGACAGCTTCGGCAAATCACTCATGAGGCAGGACAATGAATGCAGGCCGACATGTCAAACTGTATGCACGCTCACAGAAGAAAACATTTTTACAGCAGCGGAGGCCTGGAAGTTTAGTCGACCATCACCGTTCCAGGAAGACGATCGGCCACAAAATAAAGCCTCCATAGCAGCCGAAGGTGCCAGCCCAAGGCGAAGCCATTCAGCAGTCGGGTAGTCCAAAAGACCACTTCAGCCACGCCGGGTAAAGGCAGCGTAACACCATTAGCGCCGCCGTCGAGAGGCGGCCACACGCCGTCCAAAGCGACCTGAACGCAGAAGTCGAAGAGCACGAGACATATTGTCGGCCATGGCATCCTCAATGGTGCTTTCGAAAGAAGCACGCGTGCCACAGGAACGGAGCCGCATCTCGATCTCCTCGACCTGCCAAGCATCAAAAGGGGACCCACAAGTCTGAGCCGCCGCATTGGTGAGAGCCGTCATAGTATCACGGCCAGACCAGGAGACCACGGACTCTTCCACGCCATTCCGCACCACGCGGATCCAGCCCTGCTGCTCAGAGGCGGAGCTCCAAGGAAATGACCGCCGCTCCTGCTCGAGCCTCTGGAGGCGGGCCCAAAGGGCAGCATCATTCCCAGGGTCCAAGGAGTCTCCAGCAGTAGAGGACGTAGCGCTCAAGGCATGGTGGTCACGTGCTTCCCCGCCGGCTACAGCCCGCCCATCGAAGTCATGCTGCCCGGCAGAACCTGGAGCATCCTCGTCCGAAGCCTCATCGCCGAGTGGAATCATGAGCGGCTGCCGCTCCTGCTGGAGCCTCTGAAGGCGAGCCCAGCGGGCAGCATCAGTCCCCGGACCCAAAACGTCACCAGGCTCCGAGGGCATAGCGCATGAAGCACGGTGGTCATGAACTTCCGCGCCGGCAGGAGCCGAGGGCGAGTCCAGTTCAGGGTCTGACTGAAGAGACTCATCCTGGAAAATGTCAGACAAATAACCGGTTACTGGCCCTTCAAGGAGACGTGCTCTATCTTCCGCGCCGGCCGGAGCTCGACCATCGAAGTCAACAAACCGGTCCGCCCGACGGTTGGCATCCGTGTCAGACTCGGTCTCCATATGATCATCATTGACCGGAGAATCAGAGCCGCCACGAAAGCCCCGATCCCAGAGTGTCCGGTTCAGCCACATAAAAGCATGAGCCATCAGTCAGCCAGCTTTGCGAGGCCAGTCGGACCCATGCAGCGGCAGACGCGAAAGACTTACGAAGAAGGCCTCGAGAGGAACCCGTACACAGCTAGACGTGTCGTGGAGTGTCCGCCAGCCCTATCCGACAACTCACTCCGCTCGCAGCTTTCACCCGAACTTTCGCTCAGGGTTACTAACCACTTCCTTCGCGGGAGTGCCAGCAATCAGGCCCGGAACTCACACTATGCTAGCGGATCGTAAAGGGCCCCAGACACAAAAATTTGCACTCATGTGCTTGAAGGAGCGTGCGCGGGAGACATGTTGACAACTGATCATCAAAGAATAAAGTTCATGAAAACCCAATCGTTAAAAATCAGGTTCAAAAAGTTTCCCAAAAACCGCCCGAAGTGTTCATGCACGATCGTTTCTCAACGAGACAACAATCGTTGTGAAATTGGAAATAAAGTGAAAATCACAAGTGATGTGGTCACGTGTATGCGCACATGCGTACCAAGTTTTGCACCCCGCCAAAGTTTCGGCGTAATGCTAAATGAAGTCGCAACTTTCACAAAACGTGGGACATGAATCACCACATGCCGCTCAACACAAACTGACTGGCCAGGCACTCGCTCACACAGTTCAGCACATCTGCAGGTTTCCACCACTGTCCTCGAGTACACGATGCACGATTGGCATCGGCAATGTGAAACATGATTCTGCCTGTCTAACCTTCATACCTTAGGCACCTGGTTCAAGCGATGTGGATCTCTCACTATCCACTGCACAGGGATTTAGACCTGGATATTCAAGGTCCTCACAATCATCAAGATTTGTGGCGTTCAGAGTTTCACAATAGAGGTCCGGATAATATGACTGGCGCCAAAATGGCGACTGCGATGCAGCACTGGATGCTGCGCGACATGCAATCAAGCATCAAGGAAATGCCAGCTGGCACACAAGTCAAGTCATCATGAGCATCGCACAAGTGTGCATTCCAAGATAGCAAGATGCAACTGATTTGTTCCCATCATACATATTCACGCGATCTCATAGATCTGGGGTGGATCCCTTTCACGGCGCATCTGTGCCTCAGCACGGCGTCGGCAGTAGAAGCAAACATTGAAATTGCGGTACGGCAATCTCGTAGCACGCTCGTGTTCAGTGATGCGAATCACTCTCGATGCACTTGCAAGTCCCTGACACGTCCTGAAGATATGCACTCTACGACCTGAGATCGGGGCAACGAACCACGACATGTGTGGGTCGACATGCACCAGACCTTGCATTGCTGGCACAACTTGCCCCTGGGGCGCATCATGAGCATCATCATCAAGAATGTCATCGTCACGATCCCCAGCAAGAGGGGCTGGGGCAGCTTGCACATCCGTGAAGTCACCATCAAGCGGCTCTGGCTCATATGACCTCGGTCCATCAGGACCTGGCTGCCCTCGCTCAAAACCTCGTTCATCGGTGCTGCTCCCTGCCGTGGGACCATACTCAGGATCACAACCAGCACAGCTAGAACCGGCTGCGGGCTCATCAGCTGCACACTCTTCGCCTTCCGACTCGGGCTCATCAGAAGCGTCACTTGAAGCTGGCTCAGTTGCTTCACACGCATATTCATCAACCTGCCTCCAGGAGCTCAACACATGATAAAACATTGGAACTCCGAGGCATATGCACAGCAACTCTAAACCAACTAAGACTAAGAGTGCAACTAGGATCCCGGACCAATCTACGCTAATCACAACCTGAACCCATTGACCCATTGCTGCTCACTGCGGCATCCCTGCAGGAGCATGGCACACACAAGGACAGTGATTGGCACAACGAAGCTTCCAAAGCACGAAGTGGGGCTCAAGGCGTTCGTATCATCAACCGGAGAGACTGCGTCGGCACCAGGCAACGAGAGCAAAGCGGCGATCATAATTCGTCGAAGCTGCCATTTCGGAACCTTGGCTCGCTGGTGCGACTGACGGAACCGCCTCACAGCCTCTTTCATCGCCTCCTTCTCAACCTGCTCCGACATTTCAGCCTCACCAACGTATTCACCTTCGGCTTCATCATACACATGCAGCAAATGCTTAAGGAACAACGTTCGGGCGCGACTCAACCCTTTAGTCCCAATGTCTGCTACATTATAATCCGTAGAAACCTTGTTGGTGGCAATGACGCCCTGTTTCACAAGAAGCTGCTGCCAAAGGATACGTGTAGAAAGATGTCTGATCTTCCCGACTCCCTGGCGCCGAAGTGCGCCCAAGGCAGCTGTGCTGTCGACATGGTGCTGAATGCACGGGCTCTCATTCAATCCTGATGCAAACTTCACGCACTCTCGCACCAACATGGCATCACTCAACACAGAGGCTGATGCCAGGAGTTCAGATTCTCCTGAAGACAAAGCTATCACGCGTTGCGTGCGCGAGCTTGTGGTGAGCACATTAGCTCGCACTGCAATCACTCCTGCAGAAGTCGACTTGCGGCTCACCTGATCTCCAGCCCAGTTGGCGTCACTGAAAGTCTCTACCAACACATCGTGATCAAAGTGATCGCCCAGGAGGCCAACGCGCTCACCGCGATTGCACAACATCAAGCCTTCATCACAAGTGCCGTTCATATACGCCACCAGGTGGCGCAAACCCTTCATGCTCAATTCAGTGGGCGCGCTCATCTTCGATGCGAGCATGTTGATGCTATACTGGCAGTCTATGCAGTCATGCGCAACATATAGCAGCACACCGATGCAACACCTGAACAGCTTTGAATCCGCAGGGCTCAAAGGAGGGCTGCCATCAAGCTTTTCCAGATCACTCAGGAAAGGGGCCTTCTTCCGGGCCTCTGAGCGGATCTTGAGAAGCCTCTGGAGCCTCTCGAGGTACTTCGGGTGCGGGCTAATCAGCAACTGGCCCTCAGCAACCAACCGAAGCTTGCGTTTCAAAAACCACAGAACATCACCCGCTTTCTGCAGTACCTCAAACTTGATCTTATACTTCGCAAGCAATGCGGGCCTGAGCTTCTCAGTGGCATACCTCAATGTAGTGAAAGACAACATGTCATCCACATGAAGCTGCATTACGCTCTCCAAAGCCTTGGTCCTCAAGAGCGTGGGGTACGCTTCACAGGCCTCCACATCCAAACTTGAGCTCAAGCGGTCAAGAAAAGCACTATACCACTTCTCAGATCCATCACGCTGCCCCGGCAGGAGCTTGCCTAAAGCAAATTTGACCTCAGGACCTCCACCTGTGGGCCGATACACCACCTCCGTCGGAACCGACTGGTCGACGGTCAAGAATGCGTCTGATATATCAACTGCAACCAAACACTTGTCAGGCTCGGTGCTGGTGGCATAGAGGATCGGAAGCAAGCGGTTCAGAAGACATGAGGAAGCTGGGGCAAAAGTGTCCGAGCGCTCGCACAGCCAAGCGAACTCACGAGCCACATACCTTGCACGTCGAAGCCAGATTGGCTTTCCTTGATGCACCTTCTCACGCCAGTCCTTGACCATGCGCGTTGTCAAGTGCTTCACTTCCCCAGGGCTGTGTCCGGAGAGGGTACTCGGATCAAGCAGGACTCCAATCTTCTTCAAACGCTCGACCTCAACAAACTCGGCAACCAAGTCAATCGCATCAAGCCTGTCCTGGGGCATGGATGGAGGATCATCCCCATCACGAGGAAACATCAGCTGCTTCTCATATTCTGACAAATCAACCTCCTCCGGCTCTTCCCAATCTTCGTCCTGAAGATCGTCATCCTCAAATCCTTCAACGAGCTCAGACTCAAAGCACAGCTCAGGTGATTCATCCTCATGGCCATACTGGTGCACGGCACGGATCGACTCGCCCGGAAAGAAGCTCCATTGTCTACGAAGCCAACACCTCCAGCTTCATCCGCGACTGACATGAACGAATCATTGGCCGACATTGCAACATCACTCGACCGACGCGAACTGCTGTTGCTGCTGCTGGGGTCTGACCCCGCCACATCATGTGGGCTAGCAGCCACATCCTCTGCCAACTCAACACCATTTTCGCCTGGGGCGACAACGGGCCCACTTGAAACCTCCGCCGGGACTGGAACTGGAACGGGTGCTGGTGGAGCAACACGCTTTGCCAGAACAAGCTGCGAACCAAGTGACGCAAGGCCATGCTCCCAAACGCACGTTTCAACTGACACGGCCAAGTCAAGGTCCCATGGATTTGCAAGGCGACGAACGGATCTTGTGACATAGATCCCTGCGGGCGTGCCTATGATGTTCACATCATTTCTGGATGTCTTTCCAAGCCAGACGCCCTTAAGATCCACTGAGCAGAGGCCTTGGCAGTCTGCAGGAAACCATCACACGCTCGCCAAACAAGCATATGCGGCCCTCATAGCTCGATGAGCGCACTCGCTCAAATGCAGTTTCATTCTGCTGAACCCGGAACCGATTCAAGAGCCAACACGCGTGCAACACCGACCCCTGGAAGAGTGGGTGACCGACCTTGATCACTTCTTTTGTCATGCCTGCACCTTCCTCGAGCTGAGAAATCAACACGCACGCATGCTGCCGAACTCGCTGCAAAGCTTGCTCAACCTCGCCGTTCGACTCATGCGAACCGACAGGGCTCGTTTCAAAAGTAACTCCAATGTTCAGGCTCCTCAGTGCACGCTGCAAGTGATGCATGACATGAAGAATGGGCCTTTCATTGTCAGACTTCAGCTTGACATTCGAGTGGCCCAGCCAACAGATGAAGCGAGCTGCTTCAGTCACCAGAAATGAAGTGGCGGCACCGGCTTTGCTTTGCGTAGGAATGGCAAACACTGCTTTGCTGGCACGGTCTACACAAAACAGCACTGTCAAACTCTCATCACCAACCTCAGGCTTTGTGCTCAAGAGACTCTGGCCCTTCCGTGACAAGAACCCATAATCAAATGAAATAACAGCATTCTCTGAAGAGGTGTGCGGAACCGAGGTGGCATGTGCATCCTGCCTAGCCCGGTGCTTAATGCAGATTTCGCACCAAGGTTCATACGGCTCATGCGTCAACCGGTGACGCGCCTTGGTAGCCTCATCAGGCTCGGCTGCAACAGCGGGCGCAGAAGGATATCGAGCCCTTGAACTCGCCAAATTCGCCTCCACATGTTTGTCAACTAACAGCTGCTGGGAGTTGATGTGGTTCGTTAGGCGGCGCCACAACTGACGGCGATTTCCTGCCTTGCTCAAGCCTAAACTAGTGCAGGCAGCCCTGAGAACTGTGGCTGACGACTCACTTGTCACTCGAACTCCCTCAATGACAACAGTGTCAGCTGGCAACTGACCCTCAGGATTCTCCGGGGGCTGCTCATCTGCATTTTGAACGGCTTGTGCAGGCGGCGCAACGGGCGCCTCAGGAGGCGATAGCTCCATGCCATCATCCCCGGCTGGGGATGCAGAAGCTGGTGCAGGAGCCGGCAACACGACTCCATAGTTGTCCCCTGAATACGCAAAGCCAAGCTCCTCAGGTGACATGTCAGCCTTGTTGCACGCAAACGTGAGGCATGACTGAACCGGCTCACCTGCGTCAAAAAGTTTTTCCAACTGGCCTTCACCTGCAAGTGCACTGACATCCTCACCGTACTCTTCAAGATACCAGCGATCTGATCTGCGGCACAGGGTGGTACGTCTCCAAAGCAACTCATCAAACGGACCGAGTGTTGTGTTGACATGGTGCGCAGAACTAGAATGCAACACATAGCATGAAGGTGCAATCTTAACCCATCCACGGTTGCGCTCCAAACCTGCAAGCTTGGTACCGAGCGTGACCTCGATCGCACGAACCTGCAATGGTGACGAACCTGGCTGAACGGACACACTTCCTGCACCTGGACCTGACCTGGCACCATCGGCTTGGGACACTGAACCTGACTGCGTCGAACTGCTCTGGGACACTGGACCTGACTGCGTTGAACTGCTCTGGGACACTGGACCTGACTGCGTCGAACTGCTATGGGACACTGGACCTGACTGCGTTGAACTGCTCTGGGACACTCGAGCTCTCGGCGGGCTCATGACATGGTCAACCTCAGCACGGCTCAACATGCGAATCGTTCCTTGGGCACAGAAAGACTGGTGACGATAGCCGATTGGAACCGATTGAGCATCGTTGCTCAGCTTCAGCACATTATTCTCAGGCCGCACAAACCAGCCGGCACGATACAGCTTGCCCAAACAGATCAGCGGATGCGTGACATTTGACAGGGCAAAGCGCTCATAGAATCGGCAAGGTCCGATCCTCACCTCAGCTATGCGAAACTCCCGCACACGCAGCGGGTTTCCCTGGGCATCTGAGTAGCGCATGTTGCTTGCAGCGTCATCTCTCACTCCAACACTCGAGAAACGAAGTGGAAGGGCCGAAACATCGGCACCTGAGTCGAGGATAATGTCCACTTCATCATGCGTAACGGCTCTGGCCTGTGGGCCTCGGCCCAAACACATCTCATTCACAGCCTCAAGACAGTCATACTGGTCCTCGAGGCTCAGGTTTGATGACCGGCACTCATCATGGCCATCATCCAGAGCACACCTGATCATCCGGACACCATGTCCAGCGCTGCAACCACTCGAGTGTTGCTGCCACTCATCATACGAGTATGTGTCACCATCATCATACCAAGCATCGTAAGTTTCAACTCCATCCGAGCACTCATGATCATCAACTTCGTCAAGGTCGTATGCCGATGACTTCCACATTTCATGGGATATCTTTTCAGGGTTACAGCTGCGTAATGCTTGCATCCAAGCCGGCAAGCTCCTGGATGAACTCATTTCTGCTGGCATGCTCATTGCAGTGGAAAAGACTGTCATTATCCTTGCGTTAGGAGGCACACAGACAACACATGCCACAAAGGACCTCATCACAGTCAGCAAGAAGGAACGCAGCATTCGCATCCCAACGCGGGCAGGCATTCTCCAAGTGCCACTCCGAAAAGAGCACACGTATCTAGGCACCAAGCTAGGATACTCCAACTGGGAGCGCAGCACGGTGACATACAGAATCAAGCAATCTTGGCATGCATTCCACAGACTACACCGCACTCTTATCAGCCAGTCTTTGCCAGAGCAGTCTCGCATTCGTCTTTGGACAGCCTGCGTACGTTCAGTGCTCTTTTACGGCCACACTACTTTGATGTTTGATGCACAGAGCGCCGGGCAAATTCGCACACATGTCATCAAACAGCTCCGGCAAGTGACCCGTAGCCCAGCACACATTACACACGAGTCCAACCAGACCTTCATGCGTCGGATTGGGTCTGAAGATCCTCTCCAGGTTTTGCATACGCTGATGAGCAATCGAATTTGCACGGCGCGGGCAAGTCTCTCTCATCTCCAGCCCAGGGAGGTGCAGAAGCGCTGGGAAGCTTTGCTCTATCAGAACTGGCAGTGCCTTGAAAGCGCAGAGGCACACTCCCAGACGGGCACGCTCACCGAGGTGACGCACATGCTACGGCAGGCTTCCACATGTCACATATGCGGGGTCACGTATGGCAGCCTACATGCCCTTAGAACACACATAGGCAAGTCCCATCCGGAGCAAAGCCAAGCCAAAACCAAACAGGGCTATGCTTCCCGATCCTATAGATCCAACGAGTTCATGCAGTATGCACGTGACGGCCGGCCGGAATGCACTTTTTGCAGCAAGCAATTCTCCAGCTGGCGAGCTTTCTGCGGCCACTTTGTGCAAGCAGCGTGCTCAGTGATGCATTTTTCCCAGGAGACACAAGCCACTTCTGGCCCAAAGTCAGGATTTGGAGCTCAAAACCAGGGTTTGGGCCAGATCAGGCCCAAAACCAGCCACTTCGGGCCCAAAGTCCAGATTTGGAGCCAAAATCCAGAGTTTGGGCCAGATCCGGCCCCCTCTGCTAATGGGGTGTCCGCACCGGGAGGCGGGCCGGAAGTCTCCAAGCAGCAGTCACTAGGCCAAAGCACAGATTTGCAAACACAGCAGCCGCGAATTGCGCAAAAAGAAGTTCGGGACGCGGCCACTGCAGGCGATGTCATTGCACTCCGAGCTCTGGTCAGGTCGGAAATCAATAAGGGACACTGTCCCATCTGCCGTTATAAGTGTAGCACCAGCATGTATGTGGCAAGACATGCATGCAAGCAGCACCCTGACATACGAGAAGCAGATGAAGCTGTCAAACAGTGGGCTTCCAGCAGGGGAGGAGTAGGACAGCCGTGCCGTTGGTGCTGCCAAAGCTACACGCAAACTCCTCAGGCCCATCAGCGTGCATGCCCAGTGCTCTGGACATGCGGACAGTTATTGCATAAATTCAGCAGTCTATCGTCCTCAGGTCAGCAAACCCTGCGCGACCATGTCCGACCACGTCCAGGACGAGCAGGAGCTGATGAGGGCAGCCCAGGAGCTGCAACAGTTCGGGGGCTACGTCAAGTCTCCGGGGAACCTCTTCTCGGCACTGCCTGCACCGGGATCGGCCCTCTCGACGGCACCGCAGACGCCAACGGGGGCGGATCACATGGACACGAAGGACGCGGACAAAAGGGCGTCTCCGGAGGCCAGCGGCACACCGGCACGGGAGCCACCACAGAAGTGGCAGAAGGCCAGCGGCAAGGGGGACGGCAACAGCCTTGGACCTCAGGAGACCGACCAGGACAAGGACAGCAACAAGGCGGTCGAAGAGGCCGAGACAAGGGGCCCGGTCAGGTCTTCAAGCCAGCGACGCGAGAAGGAATGGCAGCCCTCTTCTCGTCGAGGAAACGGCCACCAGTGGTGGAAGAAAGAAGTGGAGGTCGAGACCAAGAGGGAGCGCGAACTCCGGGAGCTCGTTCGCGAGCTGGTTCGCCTGGTTTTGAGGCAAGCCGACACGTTGTCTTACTTGCAGATGGACCTGGGGTTTATGGTCTTTCTCAAGACCACGATGCAGCCTCACTTGCCGGAAGAGGATGCTACACAGGCCAAACAATGGGCAGTGGTCACCGACCTCTACCAGGCAGCGGAGAAATGGCACGCGATGAAGCAGGCGGACCCCAACAGCATCAACGCCACCTTGAGGACCACCCTGGTTCATTGCCTCGTTCAAGCTCTCCTGGAACGGGTATCGGCCCTGGAATCCAACACGGAGGACCTGGCTCGCCTGGAGAAGCTGGGCCTGATGGAGGGAGACAAGTTCCTCTACCTGAAGTGGAACGGGGAGCTCCGCCGGCACGAGAAGTCCACCCAGGAGCCCCTCACCTTGGCGCAGGCCAAAACGTACCTGATGCTGATCAAGAACCACCTCATCTTTCCCCGAGTCATCTTGAGGTTCCATGCCTTGAGAAAGCTGACGCCCAACATGGCGTCAGACGTGGTTCCCTTCACGCTCGAGATCCACAACCGCTGCCGCGAAAGTCAGGAAGTCTACGTGGCATTCGAACGGATGTCATACAACGCAGTTTGGCATCTTGTTGGCGGCACGGTCAGACCCAGCAAACTGGGCAGGGGACCGCTGGAGAAAGCCGTGGAGGAAGCAGCGAAGCGGTTGTAAGTGAGGCTCGCAACATTTTGAGCATCATGTTAGGCAACAGCTCTAACTTTTGCTACAGTAATTCCACCATTCTTGCCCACATGTGGACATGGCAACGAGCAGGCTTACAGCCTGATCCGCCGGATCCTCGCCTGGGGCTTGCACTTCAAAAGGTGTTCACAAGCCAAGGCCGGGTAATACATCTGTGGCGCATTGCGGAGTGGTGCGCCTGCTTGCCTCGATGGCCCCGACAGGGCCAGCAGGATGCTGCAGAGTTTCTGCACCACATAGGCCCCAAGCTCATCCGGTCAAGCCTGGTTGGTAATTGGGAGGCTAGGCTTAGCCCTTGTACCCCCACTGCGTCCTCTCAGGTTGTGGAAGCTGGGCGGATGTTGCCGCTGCTTCTTACCGCCTCTCTGACGACCGTAGCCGCGGCAGGCCAGGTCACGCTGCAAGCCCTTGTCAACCAATGGCACCACCAAAGAGTGAATGAACAGGATCGCACGCTCGCTTCGGTGGATGGCCATCTGCCTATCCTGATCCTGCAAGTAGCTCGCTTTGACGACCGTGGTCGAAAGCTGCACATACCAATACACCCACCCTTTAGGCTAAGGTTTCCCTCCTTTTGCTCCCACGACTGCAGCGTAGAGTGGGTTGAATACGACACGGCAGCTGTTGTCTTCCACCTGGGAGCCACGACCACCAGCGGTCATTATCGCACAGCTTTCCTGCAGCGTTCCAGCATCATGTATCTTACGGATGATAATAGCGTAGCCAGCGAGCCGGGTGCCCGAGATGCCAGCATCGTTCACAGCAACTCATATGTGTTCTTTCTCACACGAACAGTGCAACATAGCTGAAAGCTGCTACTGCGACAAGTCTTTTAAGCACACTTTTGCCGTCTCTCTGCCTTTTACAACCTACTCTCACGTGTATTCTCTATTTTATCTTGTCTTTCTTTTCATACTGTTCCCAGCAAGCTGGATTTCTCTGCTCAGATGGCCCTACGGGGCGGGAGAGCCGGCTACAGTGGAGACAGGGCAGAGAGACATAGTCTAGGTTGCTCAGGAGGCCACATGAGCGCGTATCAACGCCGGCAGCTAAGCTGCTGCTCCAAGACACAACGCGAACCCTCTTTCGCGGTGAAGGAAGAAGAAGAAGGTCGTACACAGTCAAGCTGGGAATCGGCTCGTTGTCCAACAACGAGTAGCGGAGTAGCGAAGTGGAGTTCCAAACGCCACTCTGCGCACAGCAGTCTGCTGGCCCCCAGGACCTTTTCCACCTGCTGCCTGACCTGATGCATGCTGACCTTGTTGACCTTGCTGCCCGGCACCTGCTGATGCTTGCGGTTGCGGCTGCTGCGTGGGCTGCTCACCTAGCTGCCTCAACTGCGGACAGTCACGTTTCCAATGACCGGGCCGCCCACAATTAAGGCACACATCTTTGCCTTTGCCTTTGCCTTTGGGCGATTTGCCACCCTTGCCACGACCTTTGCCTCCATCCCAGCCACCATGCTGGGGGCCTTTGCCGTTCCATGGGCTGCCCTTGTTGTGCTTGCCCTTTCCTTTGTCCTTGCCCTTGTTCTTATCATAGCTGCCCTTGCCATAAGGACGATACGGCTTACCCTTGTCACCTTTCCCTTTGCCTTCCTTGCCCTTGACACGACTGATGTCCATTGGCTGAGGTCCTTGGTCGCTGGAGGTTGATGTCCCCAGCTCAACATGCACACGATGGGCCGTCCAAGTCGTGGTAACTGATTCGTATTGAAGGATACTTTCGCGGATCTGCTCGTAGCTAGACTTTTCTGTAAGCTGTAGTTGTATGTGTTGTTTCAAATGGCTAGGAAGAACCCTTACCAAAACCCCTAATCTAACATCGGAGGCTCTGGGTCTCCCTGCTACCTTCTGGTACTCCTCAGAGATGCGTTCCAAGGAGTTCACTTGCTCGCGGATGCTGCGCTCCTTCACGAATCCTGGATAGCCCATGTACGCACTCAAGAGCGCGAGGGAACGAGCACGTGTGCGGGGGGCGTAAACCCCAATGAGTTGATGCCAAAGCTCAAACCCATTATGCTCTTCTACAGCTCGGAGCATCATTAGTGGCCTGCCTCTCAGCAAACCTGACATGATCGCATAGAGCCTGCGGGCACGCACACCAGTGGCGCGAGCCATCTCACTCAATGTGATCACAACATCGGGATGTTTCTCAATCATATCCAGCTCACTCTCAAAAGCTGGCTCAGCATACAAGATCCACGACCTGAATCCATGCGAAAACTCCTGCCAGCGAGCAAGGTCGGCCTCGTGAGAATCACCTCCACCGAAGCCTTCAGGATATTTCAAGACCTTTGATGCATCCGTGTACCCTGAGTACTGACGCTCACCACCGCGATCATTCTGCTCTTGCATGCGCGCTACAGCACTGGCAGCACTAGCAGCTGCACTCGAAGCAGCCTGCACGAGAGCTGCAAGCTGAGTCACATCATTCACGCTCACCTGTGGTTGTTGATCTGCAGACCCCTGGGGTGCATGCTGAACTGCCTCCTGCAATGACATGGCTGCATCACCTTGACCTGCTTCTAGCTGGCCTGGGCTCGCTGGGCTCGCCATCTCGAACACAAGAAGGGGCTACCCCAACACTGGGGCTTGGCAATGATTTGCACGACGATGGCTCGGCACCTGAAATGCTGTCCTCAAGATCAATCACGTCACGGCTCACACTCAAACGCGCGAAGGCGCGCAGTGGCAATTGCGGTTCCTGGACAACTGCTAGCGCTGACTCGGGCTCCTCCGCTCTAAGCACCTCTTCGTAAGAGTCCCTCAAGAAAGCCTCAAGCAAGCTCTGGTCTCCAGACAATAGCTTGCACGCGTATGCAATTATCTCTGCCGCTGTTGACAACTGATTAAGCCTGCGCTGATGCTCCAACCTCAGCTGAACCTGCCTCTTGCCAAACGAGTAATCAGACAATGATGGCGTACGAGGTTTCTCAAGCTGAAGCTCAGTGTAACCTTCAATGGCACGCTCTCTGAGTGCCCTGAGCTTTGCAGGACGATCCCAATCAAGGGTCAACCCAGACTCAACCGTCTGGACAGAGGCTTCAGAAGTAATGGCGGCAAAGAGAGGGGCCTCACTACACGTGTGGGCACTACCAGCTACACAGGAACCTGCTACGGGCCTCAAAGGTCCGAAGAGCGCACTAGCGCTCCGCTACCATGAAATTTTCTCTGTGATCTTTCGAACGCCTGCAGATATATGCACTTCACCATGTGAGCAACTTTACATACCTGGCCATACGTACACTACAAAAGGAAAACAGTTTGGTGCGCAAAAGGAAATACGTGTGTGCGCACATGCGTACCAAGTTTTGCAGAAACGCATACAACACTAGAGCCCCAACTCGCTCTTCAGAGACGTCTCCTTGTAGGTTTTTGACACACGCGAAGCCATCTTTTCAGCCAATCGTTCCGGCAAGAGAGTAATCCATGCCCTAACAATAACACCCAAATATGACAACTCACAAAAGGCCCTCAATGTACATATTACGTAGGGGTTCTTCCGCTAGCACTGGTCCATTACGTTCGGTATACATTAAATGCCGGCAGGAGCGGTAAGATTCGCACCTTTTTCCAGATGGCTGAATACCGCAGCAGATCCAGGGCGGTGACCGGATCAAGTATAGCTTAGTATAACCGGTAAGCCGCAGAGAGGAAAACTACGGATCTGTATTCGGTAAGCCGGTCGGTCCGATAGGCCAACGGTCGGACCCGGCAAACGGGAAGGACTTTGATGGATGCACAGCCTACGGAAGTGCAGGAGCAAAGTCCAGCTCACACTCCAAATCCAGAATTGGCCCGGGACAGGTAAATCCAAGACGGAAAAAGGGGACGGTGGAGGAAATCACTAGTGCAAATCGTCGGCGAAGGCGGACCGGCTGCACATAAGTCGAGCGGCTGCGGCGATTACGACTTGCCGTTGCGACCTAGCGGAAGAACACATTACGACCAGTCGAGAAGCCGTTCTTCCGCTAGCACTGGATCGTTACGTTCGGTATGCACTAAATGCGGGCAGGAGCGGTAAGATCCGCACCTGTTTCCGGATGGCTGAATACCGCAGCAGATCCAGGGCGGTGACCGGATCAAAAGAAACTCAATATAACCGGTAAGCCGCAGAGAGGAAAACTACGGATCTGTACTCGGTAAGCCGGTCGGTCCGATATCGGAACCGGCAAACGGGAAGGACGTTAATGGATGCACAGCCAAAGGTAGGCAACAACACTAGGTGATGGCATTCCCCGCTTCGGGGAATATCCAGCCAAAGTCAGAAGTCCAACGCCGGAAAATTGATGCCGGTGCGAGCCTCGGCCGGGTAGTACTTCGGACGAGGAGGGGAAGCCAAAAGCTTCCAAAAAATGATCACCTCATCAGCAGGGCAGAGGCCAAGTGTGAACGGGTCGGCAGCACGACTCAACCCGTCAGCAATAGTGTTCCGGAATCCAGGAACATGGTCTATAGATAACTGGAAATGCAAAAGTGGCGCTGCCACAGAAAATACGTGTTGATTAACTGTTCAAGTTAGAGCCACCTCGAGCCAAACTGCTGCAGCTTAGGGTTGGGTAGAGGTGCAAAGCGCAACACGACTAAACTCTAAACCTGAAACACGCAGCTCGGAAGGTCTCACTCTTTTTTCTCGTGGTGACTGTGGGCAACAAGTCGTCCAGCACTCTCGTTGAGAGTGCAAGCTCGTACGGTACACGCGAAGGCAGCCTAAGCTGCCGCACTGCAAGTTGGAGTAACACAGCAGCTGTAGCTGCACGGTTAGGCACTGCTGCAAGGGAGCCGAGTTTGCGAGCCGAGCAAGTTTCCTGAAGGAGCACAGCCAGGCGGCGTGCTACACTGCAAGCTACTTCCCCCTTTGCCAGGGTGGGCGGGTGGGAACTAAAAATTTTTAGCGCAAATGCAACTTCCATGTCATGGAACTGTGCAATGCCATGCGGTAGCATGTAATGTTGTGAAGCCCCCTCATGACCTAACTCTAGGATTCGTGGAAATAATATTATTGCGAAACATTTGCGGAACAAATGGGTTCCAAAATGCGAAAACAATGGGTCGAGAAATGGGTCCGGAAATGGGTTTCGCATGGGTCCGGAAATGGGTCCGGAAATGGGTCCGGAAATGCGTCCGGAAATGGGTCCGGGAGGCTAGTTTCTGCAAAAACCCTAGCAAAATGCAGAAAAAATGGGTCCGGAAATGGGTCCGGAAATCTGTCCGGATCCATTTTTGGACCCATTTTTGGACCCATTATTGGACCCCTTGTTGGAGCCGGACCCATTTTCGGACCCATTTACCGGACACTTGGAACCCATTTTTTGGGGTTCGATCGCATTTTGGGACCCATTGGTTTTTGCATTTTTATTTGCAAAATATTATTTCCGCAAATCCTAGAGTTAGGTCATAGGGGCTTCACAAATGTAATGCATGTCTCAAACTTGAAGCCAACGGCAGCCGGTTGGCTGAGCATTCCTTTGGTCAAGAACACAAGCTGCAATCTGCAAAGTTTCACCAGCCAAGGGCAAGCAGCCTAAAAGGGAAAACTTAAAACTCGAGGTGGCCAAATTCTATTCCTTACACAAGTCAAAGAGTTCGGAAAGTACTTTCACATTTAAGGCGCTAGCAGCGGAGCGCTGCCAACACGCTTAACTGTTCAAGTTAGAGCCACCTCGAGCCAAACTGCTGCAGCTTAGGGTTGGGTAGAGGTGCAAAGCGCAACACGACTAAACTCTAAACCTGAAACACGCAGCTCGGAAGGTCTCACTCTTTTTTCTCGTGGTGACTGTGGGCAACAAGTCGTCCAGCACTCTCGTTGAGAGTGCAAGCTCGTACGGTACACGCGAAGGCAGCCTAAGCTGCCGCACTGCAAGTTGGAGTAACACAGCAGCTGTAGCTGCACGGTTAGGCACTGCTGCAAGGGAGCCGAGTTTGCGAGCCGAGCAAGTTTCCTGAAGGAGCACAGCCAGGCGGCGTGCTACACTGCAAGCTACTCCCCCATTTTAACCTATTGAGCCCCAAGGAATTTAACCAAGGAAACCGATGCAGTCGCTAAGCGCCTGAGAGGCGTCGTCAGCGACAAGCATTGTTCCATTGATTTCTAGGGATTCACAAAGCTCGCGGGACGGCTTGTCACTTTTTTCACTTTCAACCGCAGACGAGTGTCTCTCTGTCTAGCGAACTACGTGACCTTTAGCCACGGCTGCTCAGTGGCAGCAACTAAGTGTTCCCTACCCCGTATCCTGAGGACACGAATGTCTTACTCAGGACGGAACTCCAGCGCACTGAGCGCTGACCCTACTTGTACTGTATGGGGCCGAAGAACGGCACCCAAAAAAGACTGCCAAAACTACCCTAGCTGCGTCACAGCCCTTCACTGTTGACCAACTTGGTTGCACACACCAGGTAGCAGTTCTTTTCTACTTGTTTGGGCACTGCTTTGCACCAGGCAGCTGGCTTGCCGTCATCGGTGTGCCAGCCCCCATTTGCCTGCGGGTGGAACAGCATGGTGCGATAATGCCCGGCACTGACTGTTGCACCAAGGTGATAGATCACTGCATTCACCCGCACACCACCTGATTGAGTCATCCCGCGAGGCATCGGTTGATGCAAACACCGGTATGCTGATGCAACGGTGTTGGGTATCCAGGTGGATTGGTTGCTTAGCTTTCAGAGTCCGTGCTCCGTGTTGCACAAACCTCGGCAATAGGATCCACAGCATTTGTGGCGCTTCAATAAGTGCCTGCACCGCGATGACCCCGTGCCAGGAGGTAATCGTTTCCTGTAGAATCGGTGTTTGCAGACCAGTGGCGGGATCGAGGATTAACAATCGGGAGTCCTGCATTGGCTGCAGGTGTTGGTAGACCCCGTCCACCTGCACTCGACGGCACCACGAAACTACACTGGGTACCCAGCTCAGGCTTCGAAGCAGATGCGATGCAAGCTCAGCCACATCGTGTTGCACATGTGGTTGTCCCCACCCCAGCAGGTGGAACCTGAGAAGCGCGAGCGGTTTGGTTTCTGCTTTACTAATGGCATTTAGCCAAGCCTGAGGCAAAGCAAGTTCACTCTGCATCATTGTCACCTGCCACATAAGTGCACGCAGAAAGGCATTGAGATAGCACGTGTTGGAGCTATTGTGGAGGGAGGCTTGCAAGATCAAGTGTTGTACATGATTAGTGGCCGGCCTTCCTGGGTGAGCAGCTTCATCAGCTCTTGCACTGGGTTGGATCGGCGCATTCCGTCCTTTCTGAGCTGGCACCCTATGAGCTGCCATACTGCATTGTTCTCCAGCTTCGCGAGGCTCTGGTAAAGTTGATCCGCTTCTGTGCTTCTGAGAGAAACCTCCAACTTGAAAACCGAATTGTTCTCCGTCTCCGGTGTGGGCTTGATCTTTCGCGGCGCATGGAATCGCAGCACCAAGGATTCCAGGATGAGCGGCTCGATCTCCGTCAAGGTTTGCATCACTTCTGTCGTCACGAGGCCCGGCATCGTGGAATGAGGTACCAGCTTTGCATTCTCTGCGTCCCACTTTTGGTACAGAAGCCGGTCTTGCTGGTCGAGCCATCCTGCACTGATGGCCAGTTGCTTGGCTTCTTGCTTCTTTTCCAGATTCTGGAGGCGTACCTTGAGCTCCGCGATCATCATGGTTAGCAGTGTGATCCGTAGCGGTTTCGTGATCTTCGCCGGCTCGTTGTCCTTGACCTGATTCCAAGCGATACTTGCATTGTAGAGGCTGGTGAGTAGTCCTGCCGGTCCCGTCTGGGCCATGAAGACCGTGAAGCCCCGATCCATCTTTGCGGCGTTGATGCTGTCCTCGTGCTGGAGCAGGATGCGCGAGATCAGATTGAGGAGCCTGCCGCCGTCCTTCGTCAGTGCCTCCGCTGGGGCCGAGTTTCGGCTCCCCTGTCCCCCCTGTCCTCGGCGTGTGCGTCGTCTCTTGCCCCCGCCTTTGCCGGACTCGTCTCCCTTGTTGTTCTGCTGTTGCGGCGTTGCTGGAGGTCGCTTGTTGGACTCGCTCAGACCCGGCAGCAGGTAGCCGAACATCTGGATCTGTTCCTGTGTTGTCGCCATGGCTGGGAATGAGTCCAAGGATCGCAGACTGAACTATGACACAGCACTGCTTAAAGTGACGATTGTAGGAGGTGCGTTGGCAGTACGGGCAGATACCATCTCGCGTGAGCCGGGGCTTGAAGACAGAGCAGGTGCTTTCGAGCCGCTCCGAGACCTGCTTCCAAATTTCAGGATGGGAGTATCGCATGTGTCGTTTGATGGACGTTGTGTCAACCATCCATCTGGCACAAATGCAGCAGTGCTGTTTTAAGTCCTCTGCATGCTCGCTGTTCACCAGGGCTTCCCACCCTTGGTCACGAATCAAGTCCGCGACTTTAAGATTTCGATGCGGTGGCAATCGTGGCTGCTCCTCTGTGGCCTGGGCTGCCGGGGTGAGGTTTACCGGAGGGGGGGCTGTAGTCTGTGCAGGGCCGGTGCTCGGCTCCGGGTTGTCCTCTCCCTGCTGGTGGCATTGACCTTTTTCAATGTGGGTCTTAAGCGCCTGCCAACTCTGGAACTTGTGCTTGCATCCGGCACACTGCGGCAGGCCTCCAATGGCATGTTCGGCCGGGTCGAACTTGATTTCTGGCCTCTGGAATTCGGGGTGTTTTCGCCTAAGGTGCTTGCGAACGCTAGTCTTATCGTTCAAAGATCGTGCTTTGTGTTTTGATATCTATCATGTTTGAACCTTCAGGGGTGAATGCTTGCACTCGCACATGTCACATGCAAGAAGTTCAAAGCTCGACGCTATTTTCACACGGTGGGGTAGCAAGTACCGCACACGGCAGATATCTTCGAACTGTCGGTCCTGTGAGACACAAGACTCTTTTCGTCCCCTCCGAAAGGAGAAGTAGCCACTCTCAAGCCGTGCACGGCTCACAATCTGAACCTTAGTAAACAGCCTGCCAGCCGAAGACGAGCAAGGCCGAAGTACTGCGAAGCAGAGAGCCAAGACCCGAACCGGGTCTGATGCACAAAGCATACCTGAGTGTCCTCAAACTGAAGTCCAAAGCTTCCTGTGGTAGCACAACCCTGATGCAATCTCTGCACTTCAACGAAGCAATTAGGGTGGAGAGGGTGGGTATTTCAAATAAAACTCTCGCCCGATTCAGGGCTTCCTGCCCCTTCGAGAGGTCAAGCTGCACCGGGCAGATATATTTTTTCAACTGGTTCACAGCATGTATAAATGATGGTTCATAAAAAGGTAGTGTAAAAGCAAAGCCCTAAATCAACAAATCAAAATTGGACTCAGTTCTCTGAGCCATTTTGTCATGTTGCTTTTCTTCGAACGATAAAGCCATATCTTCTGCAAGTGTTCAAAGAATGTAACTGGTTATCAAAATAAACCCCACAAACCCGACACGGCACGCCTATACCCTCCACGCCGTCCTGCTTGGGCCGCTCGATCGGAATCACCTGCTGGAAGGTTTCCATGGCATGTGTCAGCTGTTGCAGTGCCTGGGGCCTGGTAACAATGTTCTCAGGTTGTGTCTCCTGCAGTGTGCGAAGTTCGGCGAGCCGGTTCTTAGCCAACGTGAGCAGATCTTCGGTCCACTCGACACAGTCGAACAGGTTCCTAATCTCAGCATTGGATTCGTGCGTTAGATGTGCTGGGCGACCTGCTATAGAGCGAAGCTGCCTCGCCGACATGGCGAGAAGTTGTGTACGGCCTGTGACGGTGAGGCCGGTGGCTAGCAACCCGTAGCATGCGCTGGCCTGGACGCCTGCCTTCCATATGCGATAACGGTGTTTGCGTGTGACAAGCCTCGTCTGTGGGTCCCTGTAGGCCAGGATCGTGCCTAGGTATTCATGTTGTTTCTTGATCGGCACCAATGTTTCAGGAGACTCCCGGGCCAGAAGGTATGTTTGCTCTTGGCGTCTCACCTTAGCATGCCTGAGGATTTTCTTGACTTCATTGCCTTGCAGGTTGTACAGTACAGCGCATTTGCTTGGTTCGATCGCCATGCCGTGTTCCTCAAGGACTGCAATAATAAGCTGGATGTCCCCTAGCGCCTGGCGAAGGCTTGCAGCATCTTGGATCGTCCAGGTGGCGAAGGCATCGTCCGCGTACCAGGTGAGTCCATCCTCAGTCCATCGGTCTGGTGTGCTCTCACAGATTTTATCAATGAGCAGGATGGTACACGCAATGAACAAATAGGGCGCGATGTTGCAACCTTGCTTTATGCCTTGGGTGGGCATTACGGGCCGGGTATCGGCTCCGATCCTTGTCCAATACTGTGACTGGTGCTGTTGTTGCATGATGAGATGTACTAGATCTGGCTCCACCTGCAGTCTGGACAGACTCTCGGCCAATCTGTGCCTCGGAACCGCATCAAAAGCACCTTTGAGATCTAAGCTGAAGCAGATGCCTCCAAAGCAAGATTTGGGCTCCTGGCCTGAATGTCTTGCATAAATGGATGTGCGCTGAGCTTCGATCTCCTGGCGTGTCCGAGTGAGGTGCCCATGTGCTCGCAACAAGGCGTCCAAAGTGGATCTGCCTTTGGCATACGCAAACTGCGGTCGTGTAATCAATGCCTGTGTGAGGACGGGCAGCAGTCGGGACCTAAGCAGGGTGCAGATGGATTTGCCCATGGGGTGTACCAACCCAATGGGTCTAAGATTGGCTAACAGGCTGGGATCCTTATTGGGCTTCGGCATCCAGACCATATTGGCGTCTTTCCAGATGGAGGGTGCACTTCCATTTTGACCTGAGCTCCACATGTGGGTGACCGGGTAAAGGAAGGTCTCGGCTAGGTCCTCGGCGCTGTTTTTCCATAAAGCAGACGGTGCCGCTCCCGGCGGCGCTGCCTTCCGAATCGGCAACCTGCTAAGGGCAGACTGAAGTTGATCACTCGTGATGGCGAGACCCTCCAGGAGCACACCTGTCGGTCGGTAGTCAGTGCCCTTGCAGAATTTGTCCTGGGCGTGCACCGTAAGAGCCTGTAACTGGAGTGTTGGCGTGAGGAGCTCGCCTGACGGCCCACGGATGCTGGGCTTTGCCACTGGCTTCCAGGGGGCCAGTCTGCGAACGGCAGCATAGGTGCTTCCTTGGTCCCCTCGCTTGGCCGCCAGCTCCAGTTCACACATAATGTCTTGGATCTTCTGTCGTTTGATCGTCTTGGCTCGGTCCCGCAGCTGTTTGGATGCTCGCTTAAACTGGGTCCACAACCGCCATTTTCGAAGGATGTTTTGCCTATTGCATCTGCCTATGGACCGATACGACCTGTAAAGACTCCACAGCTCTTTGGTTAAAAGAGAAAATTGGGGGTCTTGGCTTACGCGTCGGTCTTCCCGGCCTCGGGCTGGGTACATCTGTTCAGCTCTTCGAATCAGGATACTGTCTACCTTGACTGTAAGCTCACCAGGGCTCAATGCGTCTGGGATTTGAGACAGGTCGTGTGCAACCTGAGATCGGAGTTGTTGGGCCCGGGTGTCCTGCCTAGCGATCGAGTCTTGCATGGCAGCTTTGTCAATCAGTGCACCGGCTGGCTTCGGCTGCCGAATCAGGTGCCAAGGTGACACCAGTTTGATGGAGGCCTGTACGGGGAAGTGCCGATTGGCTTTCCAGGCTCCGACGGGGCATGCTGGTAGAGAGTCGCTCTGCTTAGCCAGTCGATCTGCCCATTGTACACGAACGGCAACGAAGTCTATCTGGCTAAGGGCCCCACTTGTAAGGTTGGTGGCCTTGTTCCTACCGTGCCAAGTGTTCAGGAGACAGATGCAGGAGCTCCGGCAGGCCTTCGCCTGCGTCCTTGTCTCCGTCATGCCCCCGCTTCTTCAGGAGAGCTCTGCCAACATGTGGTGTGAGTTCACTAACCTCTGCATTGAAGTCCCCGCCTAGAATGCATGTGTGTCGCATGGGGCAGGAACCTAAGGCTTGCCCTAATCGCACGATACACTGAGGTCCTGGCTGCTTGGTTCTGGGCCGTTGTGTGGTGGCTGCGCCAGACGTGCTGATAGACGTTTATCACGTCTATTGCTCCGAATTGCTGGTGGGTCCTGGTGTGATGGACCCGTCCCTTCAAGTACGTCTTGCACTGTATAGCTTCGGAGGGGCCCAGCCTCGAATGCACAAGTGTCGCTAGACCTGAGCATTTGTCTTTTTCGGCAATGGGTGTGCCAACACAGTGCCACTTACCTGAGGTGAAGTCTGACCAGCTGGTCGAATGAGTCTCCTGAAGGAGAATAAGGTCAAATCGCAGTGCTTCAGCTGTACTGAGCCAGGCCTGAAATTCCTGCCACATTGCACTGGACAAGCCAGACACATTGAAAGTAAGAACCTGAACCCGAGTGGCCGGGTGCCTGGCGGTGGTGCGGGGCCGACCACGGCTCCCTTGCTGTGCTGTCGAAGTAGATCTGGGCTCGCGCGGGGGCAGTGGTTTGCCGTACTGTGCTTGCAGTTCACTGGCACTGCACAGGGAACCTCTGTACATGGTGGGGCCTTTAGCAGCTCGTGCGCGAGCTCGACGATATGCTCTTTTAGCACTCCACGGGTACACAAGAGCATCTGGGGATCGGGCATTGTATGGAGTAGCTGTGCCAGCGCCTTCACGGGTCGGTGTTGTAAGACCTGGTGGTGAACATCCCGTTCCCGAGACCCCGCTGGTGTGGGTCTCAACCCTCGATTCTCCAACTCCCCTTGCTGCCTGAAGTTGAGTTAAGACGAGAGCCCCGAAGAGCAGTCGCCGATGCCAATGTAGTACCTGGACTCCACATGGCTTGGTTCTAGGGAAGTTGTCCCCGGATTTGGGACCGGGGCAGCTCGAAACATATCTGTTACGTGTGTAGGTCTCGTCGTGTGGGCTTAGGTCCGGGCTGGGGCTCCGGCTGGTCGGATATATGTAGCTCGCTATCAAACAGAGAACACAGTACCAGTGCTTGATGAGATTTGCGACAGCAGTCGCCAAGCTCAGGACTGGAGTATGCAGACTGAAGTTCAAGGCGAAAGGTCCAAGCAGATGAGCTAAAAAGTGCAGCTGCGTTCGGTCCTGATTTTGCCGCCTTGGTTGCTGGATGCAACGATCTACTTTACTGCCGCTCGAAGTCGGGCCAGCATCCAGTGAGCTCACATTGGCTCTTGATCTTGTAGCATCTGGCGCATCTCCAACCTGCTCGGACGAGCATCTTCGGTGCCACCTTGCCGCATATCTGTGGGCCGCGGGAGACCACTCTCCCCACTGACCCAGTTGTTGCAGGCATGTCTCCAGGGTTCGCCACGGGTGCCTCGGAGGAGGGAGGCCCAGCTGTGTCCTTATCATCATCGGTGTCCACCCTTCCCAGGTCCTCGCTTGAGTCGTCGAGCGTTCCAGCTGCCATCCCCTGAGCCAGGCAGGTGCCAAAAGCTTTGGCTTCGAGCTCAGTGGAGCTTGGTGCAGCGACCGATACCTCTTCCATCGAGCTTGTGGTGCTGGAGGATATATCACTGCTGTCTGTGAACCACGACGGCGATGTGGAGTCCTCAGGCTCAGCTCGGCGAGGAGTGCGATGATCCCGGGCTTTGGTTGTTTGCTTGGCTTTTGCTTTCGCCTTCGTTTGTGGCCCTGAGCGACATCGTGGCTTCGGTTTGGACCTGGGTGCCGCCTTGGCCTTGGCCTTGGAGGCAGCTGTGCCTGTGCTGCTGCGCGATCGCGCCCTCGAAGGCGCATCTTTTGTGGCCTTCTTCCCCATGAACACTGCCCCGGTGATAAGCGGAAAGGCAGGGTGAGAAAGAGGAGCAGGGCCGCCAGCAGCTGCAGCGACGCTGAAATGGCAAGTAAACCCCAGCACAGTCTAAGGCAGCCAGCAGCACTGGATTGCAACTTCGGTCTAAAGTGTGCCGCCTTTATTCTCCTCCATTGGCTGAGGTTGCCGCGGGCTAGGCGTCGTCTATGATACCTGCAAGGGCAAATGCGATGCATCATGTATTGTCCTCGGGACCAAGTTCCAGGGTGCCACAAGCTGCTGAACATTAGCCGTAAAGTTGGCCTGTGTGTTCGGCCTCGTTGCTGTCCTAGGGGTGGCAACCTAGCAGCACAGAAAGTGAACACGACAATCCAGGGAAGCAATAACGCCGGCGGCTCCCCAAGGTTGGGGCCGAGAAGTGATTCCAAGACCTCTGTGTGACAGAGACACATCCACGGTTCGGGCTCGGGCCACGGCTCACCAAGGGTGGGGCCGAGGGGGCCATCCACAGCCTGTGTCCAGCCGTGCAGAACCGACGTCCAATGTGGAGCCCGGGTTGGCCTTGCTCCTGTTCCGGATATCCATGGTGAACCTTGGCAGGGGGCTTTGGCAGCAGCATGCTGTGTGCTATTGTGCGGGTCGCATGGCCAGACAGGAAGTGCAAGAGATGCAAGCATGTATGCAGCACTGTCGGAACCCTGCTCGGCAGTCTCGGCCACACTCTGCAATGGCTGTGCCTGTACACTAGCAACCTGGGCTACATCGGGGACCGGTGGATCGGCACTCCCTGAGGCCTTGTCCCTCTCTGTTGGGGCCACCTGCATCACTGGGACTCCAGTCGGTTCAGGGTCCAACGCTTCAGCGGCAGCACTCGGATGCGGTGGCAAGTGCAGTAGCGGGAGAGAATCAAGTCCAGCTGGTCCAGCAGCATTCGCCTCTGTCGGTACATTGGGTGGGGGACGTTTGCCTGGTGGTGCCATCCTTGACTCATTTTGCGCCCTCTCCATGATGACCTGCACGATGGCCTTGGCACGGTCCTGTTGCTGCAGTGTGCCATCCAATAGGAGCGTCCACCGCCCCTCCTTGGAGGGGCGGGCGGAGAGAAGGACCTGCAAAAGCCCAGATTCCTTCTTGATGTCATCCAGCTGAGCGGCGAGCTGCGGAATCCCAATGCCATCCGGAAGCCGCAACAAGAGGGTACGTCTGTCCTGTGCAGCCATCGTAGTGCTCGCCTGGCTGGGCCTTTTGGTGTCCGAGGCGGAGGCTTCGGCCGACTGCTCTGGCTCATGCCTTCCCGTGCCACGCTGAGCTGTTGGGCCATCTTGCCTGGGGTCCTCTTCAGACCTTGTGCGACCCAGATTGGCTCCCCAACCGGCGTCTCCATCAGGTGGAGCCGAAGCAGCAGTACCTGTGTCCCGAGCTGGTGCCCATCGGTCCCGCCTCTGTGTGGAGCTTTGTGCAGCAGCTGTGGCAGCAGTGGCAGCAGGCTGGTTTCGCCGATTCCACCCAGCAACCGTGCCAGCATTATGCTCTTGCCACCAGTCCTTGCGGGCCTGCTTCTCGCCAGAGGTGCGTCGGCGAGTCCCATCAGCTCTGAAGTGCGAGCGTGGCTTCTCCCGCTTGGGCTTCGGTTCCGCACCGCCGGGGGCCGACATGCTCGGCTCTGCCCTAAAAACAGGCTGAAGGAAAGACTGCAGCTGCAAAGTATGGTCCACATAGCAACATATCGCAGACGAAAGTGAGCAGGTGATCCCTTGCGCTACAGTCCCTGTTGGCAATGAGCTGGCAACACCACGAACGACAGCTAAGGTCCAAGCATACTTTGCTGGCGTGTCTCTTGGTGCAATGCTCGCCTGTAGGTCCTGACAAGAGCAGCGAAGAGATGCATCAGCTAAGGCATGGTGCAAGGGAGCAGGCTCCTGCACGGCTTGCTCTGGCATTCTAGGGCCGACAGCGGCTCCCATGCAGCTAGCCTGAGCACCTTCAATCCATTTCATCGAGATTAAGTTGCTGGCGTTGCGGGCCTCGTGCATCAAAACGCTCCTGTGCACGGATGAGTGACAGCCTGCACAGCTCATCTCGCTGGGCTCTCTTGGACAGAACTGGCGGTCCCTGAGCACACACAAGTTTGGCTGATGCGACCTGAGTGTCTCGCTTATGCATGCTCGGGGCCGTACAGTCGGCTCCCCTGTCTGATGTGTGCTGCTTCCTGGCAACATGCTCGGGACAATCATACAGCACAGAAGGGCGAGGCATCTTGTTGGGGCCAATGCGAGAGCTGTCCATGCCATGCGCGAAAAAGCTACCAAACGTCGTGGAGCCACGGTTAAACGCCGAGCCTGTTAAGCCCCAGGGCCCGGTTCAAAACAAAAGAAGACCTACAACAAAACTGTACTTGAGCCAGAATCTTGGACGGCTTGTCAGCGATGTTTGAAGGGGATGGAACTCTAGAGAACCACGTCCTAATCTCCCCGGCATCCTCAAGCGAAAGCAAAGCTGTTGCAAGGGCCCTTGCGATGACACTCTTGCCACGGCCCGAGATGCACACATCTCGCGAAGTGTTGTTGTCCAAGTAGCACACAAGAGGTCTGTTGCGGAACAGTTCTTTCCAGTGTATCAACGATACAAGGAGTGCTAAGAATTCAATCTCGAAGATGATGGTCTTCTTGAAACCCTCACCAAGCTTCTTCCGCACTTGCTCGCTGGCACACATGGAGAAGAACCCCAAGCACTCACCTTTGGGTCCAAAAACAACTGCACCAAGACCCGAGCACCAAGAGGCACCGGGTTCGTAGCAGGCGTCTGTGAAGAGATACAGAGAATCCTGATGGTTGGCTGTGACCACATGTGGCCTGCTCTCCTGCAAGCAATTGTGGAAGCGAAGCAGTGAATCCCACAAGTCTCCATCGGTCACCTCATCGTGCATCGAATGCACATGCCGTGACACTGCCTGCAAGCTCAAGCGCGACGCCCGGCCAAACAGGAAACCGTCGCAAAATTGCATCCTGCCGCGGAGCCGTTGGGCTTCCGCCCTTGTAAGTTTTTGCGACGCTAACAAAGTAGAAATTATCGAAGTTAGCTCGGCGATCCTGGCAGGGGTGTTGGAAATGGTGATGAAACCCTTAGGGGACTGGGCAAGATTAAACAAGACTCCTAGCGCCTTGAATGACGTACTAAAATCGACAGCTTTGGATCCGCATTCATCAAATAGCCAACCGAGGAGCCGGAAGAACGTGCAGACGGTTGCCTCCGTATGTCGGATGTCACAAGATTTGGCGATAGTAATAAAATCGTCAAAAAAGACGCTCCAGCACAGGCCTAGCGCTACACATCCCAACCACCACACGGCCGTAGCCGCGCGGAGGAATCCGAACACTGACCTCGAAGCTCAAACGGGAGTGCAAGCAGTTGATCAAGCTCGATGGACCTCGTGTTGGGGTTCCAATGGGCAACGTAGGAGTGCTTTAAGGATTGGGGATGCACAGGCAGTTGCCTATAGGCAGATCGCAAATCATACGGACGACCTTGGAGTGGCACACCTGGGGCAAGTCGCATGAACGTCAACATGGCAGCAGCCACGACGTCTGGTCCATGGGGTTTGGGAGACTCCTGAACCGTGACCAATTCATTAACCCCGCTGAAGCTCAAGTCATCCACTAACCTAATCTTCTCCCCTTGCCTCAGCCCAAACCTGCGACTAATCAAGCTGTCCCGCGACAAGGAATCCAAAGGAACGGGCCCAGTGGCCCACCCCTTTTCCCGCTCTTCCACTGTCTTCTCATGTACCACGGCATCCACATCGCCTTGCGGCTTGATGCACTCCAGAACTCTGGATCGAGCTCCAGGGGCCCATTGTTCAAGGTCATCAGCTTGCCGAGCAGAAGGCTTAAATGCCGGCGGGAAGATTCCGGTGTGTGGCGTCTGGCCTGTGAGCCGGATGCCATGCGTGATCTCATCGAAAACTTCTGGATCCGGACACTCATAAGCGGAGAGGAGTTCCTTGAACAAGAGCAAACGTTTCGGTGCCAAAATGCTGGAAACATGTGGGGCTAAAGATGCTTTGAAGGAAGCTTCCTCGCTTTCTAGCTCCTTTGCCCTTGACAGCCACGTCTTGAAAAAGATCGCTCGGTCTCGAGCCAATTGCTCGGATGACGAAGACGCGTTCCTCTGGATGGCGTTCTGCAGGACCTGCGGGAGAGCAGCTTCCCACTTGCAAGGGTGCCCGGCCCTGATTGCCGCTGCCACAAACTCTTGAGGGTCCCTCGGAACACCCCAAGCAGAGACCCATTCCTCGCCCGAAAACCCAGAACCTACCCCCTTCTTAACCGTCCGAGTAATCCTCAGAAGTTGAGCACCAGCGGGGAGCACACGCAAGGCACAGTCAAGGTGAGGTGGCAATTGAAAGTCCGACTTCAAACGCTCCATACGAGCCACCGGCCAGTGGAACTGACCGCGCACAAGCAGGACTTGCTGGTGTTCGGAGACAAGGGCCGGGAATTTCGAGGCCTTATAGGCTGTGACATTGTCGCAGCTCTCGTACTAGCCACCTGAGGAGCGGCGACGAAGAAGCGGCGTGGCACAAAACCATCTGCCAGCTTTGCGGCTGCATCCCAAGTGTATGTTCGATCCCAAAACTGAGCCGCCTCAAGGGAGACAGCAGGTGAATGTTCGGTTGCACTGGCAAAGCCATCAAAGGCATCACGATTACTGGCCAGCAGGGAACTTGCACATGCGTCGGCGCAATCAGCAAGAGGGAAAACTCGCGTGTGGGGGCAGAGACCTCGCACCGTGCGGCCAGCTGCAGAACTCCAGAAGGGTGAAGCCGGCGGCAGCTCAATGGACACAAGAAGGGCAAGTTCAACAGCTCGAGAGACAAGGCTTGCAACAGCAAGCTCCAATGCTGAAGGGATCAAAACTGGCGGGGCAAAATGCACACCGACAACATGATCGGCTTCTAGCCAGGATAACAGAAGTTGCTGATTTTGAGCGACGTCAAGGATCTTAGGCGGCGCTGCAGGGGCTGACACCTGAACGGAGTCAACCGCGAGAGACCTAGAGGCTCCACGGGCCCTGAGCTGGGCCGTCAAACGCCCCATTCCGGAGAAAATTTCAAGCACGACTGGGAAGCTGGGCACAGCTCCTGGCGGCGCAAAGATGTCTCCTGTGCCTAAGTCGGGAAGGACAAAACCCTAGTTTCAGAAGGTCACCTATGAGGTCAGGCGAGAAAGCCTGATAGCCCTTGACAACAAACCCCACAAGAATGCACCTATTACCCGCCCACGGCTCAGTGCAGTGCAGTTCATGTGAATCGAACCGCACAACCCCGTCGGCAAAGGACCGAATGCAGCCCGGCTCCAGGGTCGGATCAAGTGGGCACGGCACATTGCCGCCGCCCTGGACCCAGATGCCGCCGCCACTGAAACTCGACAGAGCAATTGCTGTGTTGATTGATCCACTGGCATTATTTAAATCCCTGTGTACCCAAGCAGACTGATTGGTAAGTAACGCAAGACTGGTGAAAACTGCATCGTGACAAGCAGCACGCAGCACAACGGCCAGTAGGGCCGACACCGCTGGAAAAAGTTTCATGTTGCACCTGGCTCCCAGGTTGCCACCACGGACGTATGCGCCCGAGGTCCAGGAATGGCCTCCAGGATGTTCGCCTTCGGAGCGCGCCGGAGCTTCAGATGGAAGCAAACTGATAAGTTCATCTATACAAGCAAAATCGAAGGATTTGGTCTCAAGAATCTTTCTCGCAAAAGCTTCCGCAGGATGATCAACAAAAGGGACCTGCCGGCCAAACTCTTCACGCAATCCTGAGAAGAGGACGGGATCAAGCTTGACTGGATCAAGCCCCTGGAAGAGGTGGGCATCACCCGTGGTGCTACCATGGGCAGCCGCCTTCACTGTTTGTCACTCCGTATGGCTTAGGAGCGCGTGATCGCCAAAGCATTTTGCACACACATGCTTCCTGGTGCACCCAGGCGTGTTGCACTTCCCATGTATGCTAAAAGTGAAGCAAATTGCCTCACCCGCGGGCGTGACGGCCACACCGCCCCGATCCCTAATGAATTTCGGGATGCTGATCCACGGCGCGGCCTTGCCTTTCTTACCCTTGCCCTTGCCTTTCTTTTGCTCCTGGTGCCCTGAGGCAGACGCAGATTCCTGTTGCACCCGCTGCCGCTTCCAAGGCCGGCGTGGATTATTGCCACCCTTGCTAGGCAAATGCATCAAAGCAAAACTGACCTGGTAAGACTCAAGCGCTGCATGCAGAGCCTCGTCCAAGGGCCGCAGACCGCTGGGTTCTTGCTTGGGTTTGATGTTAAGCTCGATGAGACGGGTGAAGACCAGCCTATCAGCTTCTACAATCTGGCTCACAGAGATTCGATTGTGATTTGGTGGTGGATCACGGTGCATGTGGCCGAACAGCTTGTCACATACTTATCATAAGCATTCCAGCTGACGGCTTGAGCGAATGTGTAAGCTAGTCCCCGACGCCGTAGCGCCTCCTGTACCTGAAGCGCCGAAGAAGCAGGCATGGAGAATTCGTCCTGTGCCTCTTTGATGATGAGGCGGCTCTGGTCGATTTCCACCTGACGAGATGAATCCTTGGCACGCGTGACCTCATGCAGGCGACTGACACATTTGTCAGGCGAAAGGTATTTCAACTGGCCGACCGCCTCTTGATGCGAGCATTCGTCCAAGAGCTTCCGCCCCGGCTCCAACGGCCCTTCAATGTTCAGACCGCTCAACTCATCCCTCAACTGCTGAAGCCGGCGCTCACGCTCAGCTTCTGGAACCCGCTTATTGGCGGAGTCGGGTTCGGTAACCTGGGCTCGAAGCTGGGTGAGAGCCAGTGTTTGTGCCTCAAACAATAACCGCTTCAACGATGCAAGATCTGCAGCCGATGCTGCTGGCACATGATTGCGACACCAATCGGTGAACTCAGCCTCGGGTATCAGCTGGCCTGGTTGCCCCACTGTGTAAGCGATCTGCCCCAAGGTCCTGAATCCGTGCTGCCTCAAAGCTTGCACCGAAGCGTCTGAAAGTCTCACCTCAGCTGCGCGTTGCACAAAGTGTGCTTCCGATTCCACCAAGGAAGTCATAGCGGCACGCAGGGGCCTTATTTTCCAACGAAACTTCCGTTAGCGCGCGTTTGGGAAACCCTAACTGCGCTGCAGAGGAACCCTGTGCAAAGCACTCTTTCTTTTTCTCCTAGCGGACATGGGGGGGTCAGTTCGGGCCCGATCTTCGGGCACTGAAGAAACGATGCCACTGGCACATTGACGGAAAAACTCGACCGCTGGTCGATGGTAAGGCGAACGACTGGTTCACCCCTCTTTGGGACCCCTACAAGGGACCAATCCGTACAACGGGAGAATAAGGTGAAACATGCTTTGACCTACTGGGTCACTGCAGCTACCAGTTGCTACTCTGTGTTCTTGACGGCCTACGGCCTATGTACAAAAATGCACTCTGTGCTGACGCATTTCTGCTAGAGATAGCGTAGGAGCGCTGCTCCTGGCAGCTCTGCTGCTTGTGCGGTGTCCCAGACCTGCATACTATACAGGGTGTGGCGGGTGGGATAAAACTTTTTGGATCACAGATCCAACTTCAAGCCGAAAGCTGCACGGCAAAGATTGTCTAGTGTCACTCACACACAAGTGAAAACACTGTTTTCCTTTTTCGACAAACTTTGTCTACACTTTCGGCGGAAAATAAAACCCATTCACGCACGCATGATGGATGCTTATTTTCCAACGAAACTTCCGTTAGTGCGCGTTTGGGAAACCCTAACTGCGCTGCAGAGGAACCCTGTGCAAAGCACTCTTTCTTTTTCTCCTAGCGGACATGGGGGGGTCAGTTCGGGCCCGATCTTCGGGCACTGAAGAAACGATGCCACTGGCACATTGACGGAAAAACTCGACCGCTGGTCGATGGTAAGGCGAACGACTGGTTCACCCCCCTTGAAGGCACTCGAAGCCTTACTCACCCCCGATTCAGTCCGCGTCGAGTGACAAAGCCCACGGCACTGCGTTGGGCGACTGGCGCGCTGCGCCTAATGTCTGAGTCCTGTCCCACCAGTCTCTGCTGGGGCTAGGGGCGATGTTGCTGGTGGTTGTGATTCGGAAGCAAACAGCCCTGCACTGCAGGGACTCTTTGAGAAACCAGTCTGTGCGAGAGTTTCACTGCACCTTCAAACTGCTCTGTGAATGCCTTGTGCAAGGAGGTACGCGCTGCGTCGTTGTTTGCCCAGACGGACAGGTCACTGCTTGTAGATCCTTTGCCCACAGCTCAGGGCCGAAGGTTAAGCAATAGGGCGACAGCTTGCACTCGTGTACCAACTGTTTTTACAGTGCCCTGGCAACCCGCTGGGCTGTCGATGGGTTGCTGAGTTGCAATCCCCGGGTGAAGGCGATGCATTCGCCAACGAGCGCTGCTCGGAGGCTACACTTGGGTACCAGTCGCGGGGTCTGCCAGTCGCAGGCCGCGTCAACGCGCAGGCGTACCTTCCTTCAAGGAACGCCATGGCTTGGCACTGCTGCTCGGTGAAGGGCACTTGAACTGGTCCATCCCCAAGGACGGGGCCGCCGCGGATCAGCGCCAGGCTGGTGTTGCAGCCCCAAGCTTGCCGCTCGGCGAGGAGAAGCCTGCCTCGCAGGCTCGACGATGGCATCAGGGGAATGCTGCCGCGCGTGGGACCTCGCTGAGGACAATCCCCAGCTCTTCTGAACGTGTCGGCTTGTTGTTGACGGAGGACTCGCTGTCTTGAACAAGTCGACGAGCACACTCAGCGCGTGGAAACTTCGCTGAAGTTGGAATTCAAGGTGCTTTGCGGCCACTTGCCAGCCCAGATTGCGAAAGGGATCGGGCACTGCCAATGTGACAAGTTTCGCGTGCGCGCTGCGCGTGGGAAACGTGAGTCATTAAAGAAGCTCGTCATCACCAAAACAAGCTTCTCCCGACTGATTGCATGTAGTGCGTCACTGCAGCGCAGACGGGCCCGCGCGGCGGCCGCTGCGCCAGACAGGATGCAGTTAAGTGGACGATTGGTCTTCCCACTCTGTGGGTCCACTATCGCGATGCACGCAAAAAGCTTGTTGGTGGCTTGCGGTGCAAGATGCTCGCAGGTAGCTGGAGATCGCAGGTCCTACGGACTTTGGGGTGAGCCTGCTCTGCAGGCCCCCCCTAACGTAGCCACTCCGGGCATGCCGCAAGGGGGCTCGTCGATGCTATCGACCTGCGCCTTTTCTGTGATGCCGCAGCGGCTGTTTATGAAGCTGCTTTGAAAGCGATCTGTATGTTGCACCTGGCCCTCAGGCACAACACCACACAGGACGATGCTATCGTCTCGTGTAGCTGACTGGCGGCAACTCTATCAGAGAGGGCCAGCACTGCTGACTTTCCTCCATCGAACTTTTGCAGGCCTTGTGTGAGACACCGTCTGCGAAGGGCAGAGCGCGCTGCGCGCGCCTCGCAGGCTGATACCATGGCTGCTTTGCAGCATGGACTCCTCTCCTGATAGATCTCTTGCGTGTAATTTTACATTTTACATTTTTTAATTTTTTACACGTTTTTGACGTGTAAATCTATCCCTGAAATTTACACGTTTTCGTGTAAATTTGGGTGTGTAAATTACACGCCAAAACGTGCAAATTATACACCCATGTTCTCCGAATTACACTCTGTTTCGGTACATTTGCAGCCGAGATTACTGGCACAAAGTTCCGTTGTGCTTGTGTTTCCATGTGTTTCCCAATGCCATTTGGACGAAACACACACACGAAAAACAAGATTTTGTTGTCTCCACTGAAGAATGCGGCCGACATAACAACAAGCAGAACCAAGAGATGTATATACATGTTTGTGTGGAGGAGAGAGAGAGTCCTCTGTTCTTTTGAGCCACACATTTGAGCCAGAAGAACTTTTTTCGAGGTTTCAGTGACAGAATTTCGAGGCACCAGCACATCTTTGTGGAGGAGAGCTCCTCTGTTCTATTTGAGCCAAAAACTTGAGCCACAAGAATTATAAATTTTAGGGTTTAGGGTGAGGTCTGTAGCCGAAAATTTGATCCAAAGAATGAGAGGGTGTGTAAGGTCTGTAGGGTTTTATAGGGTTTAGGGCCAAAAAGGTCTGTATAGGGCTTAGGGTTCGTGTGTGTTTTCCCTGTTTCTCTCTCACTCTCTGTGCGTGTGCCCTCACATCTCGTCGGTCAAAACTTCCTGCTGCTTTATATAATGTGTGAGAGCTGTTCGCAGTTTCGCTGTGCGAAAGCTTCTCACACAATGAGGCATGCGATGCTCTTCACATTGGAAGTCGCGATGTGTCACAGGTTTCGAAACTGCACTGCGACGACATCTTTTTTTTCGCGAGAGCGATGAGAGTGCTTCCTCCAAGTGCGAGAAACCTCCCCCAACTCGGTGTAACACCAAGAAAGGAACAGAGAGGGGAGTTTGCTTTGTGGATCTCCCCACTGACTCGGTGTAACACCAATAAAGGAACAGGGGAGATCTCATCTGTCAAAATGGACCAGGCGAACAGAGAACAAAGGTCACAGGAGTGTGTGCTGCTTTGGAGCAACACGGGTATGTCTTCAGAAAGTTCCAGAGCTCAAAACCGGCCAGAGCCTGCCAGAGAGCACACTCTGAATCTTCTTTTGTGGGAATGCAAACACACAGTCTGTAAACCCTTGGAGCAGGCCTTCGTGATTTGTGCCAAAACCTCCATAGCCCTCCCCTGACCTAACTCGGTGTAACACCAAGAAAGGAACAGGGGAGTTTGCTTTGGAGAGCTCAAAACCACAGCCACAGCCTGCCAGAGAGCACTCTGAATCTTCTTTCGTGGGACTGCAAAGACACACTCTGTAAACCCTTGGAACAGGCCTTTGCCAAAAGTGGGCCAAAGCCCAGTCCCAAATTTTCCCCTTGCTGAGCACCGTCAAGTCTCCACAGCTGGCCACCAAAACCTCGTCCAGGATGATGGAGCCTGCCAGAGAGATGCAAACAGAGTCTTCCTTTTGTTGTGGCTTATAGAGGGTTTATAGGGTTCACAGGATTTACAGGTTTCTATAGAGAGGGTTTAAAAGGGTTGTGCGGCAGGCCTCTGTGCACTGCGAATTTTTTTCCGCGAGAGCGATGAGAGCTCTTGGATTTTGTGCCCTGACCTAACTCGGTGTAACACCAAGAAAGGGACAGGGCAGTGCTTTGATATATTGTGCCCTGACCTAACTCGGTGTAACACCAAGAAAGGGACAGGGCAGTGTGGTTTGATATATATTGCGCCCTGACCTAACTCGGTGTAACACCAAGAAAGGGACAGGGGCGTTTGCTTTGTGGATCTCCCCACTGACTCGGTGTAACACCAAGAAAGGAACAGGGGAGATCTCATCTGTCAAAATGGACCAGGAGAGCAGAGAACAGAGGTCACGACAGCTTCTGCCACTGCAGGTGAAGTGCAAGCCTCATCTTCAGGTTCAGCTTGTGGCTCGCCTCCTCTCGCTGAACACCACGACAGCAGGAAGCCATCAGAGTGCCGAGCTTGGACATGTAGTCCTCGAGGGCCCCGAAACCCAAAATCGTTTAGACTTGAAGCCCTCTCTATATATAAGTCCTAGGACCCACATATATGAAACCTCTACACAAAAAAAAACCCTTTGGATTGTGCGAGCACGTGTTTATAAAGCAGGAGACCATTCATTTCTGTCCTCCCCTCGCCAGCAAGATGTGAGGCCAGGATGAATCAAGTGACTGAGCATGACGATATGCTCGCAGGCATGCATCCTTCTATATGTCTCTGGAAGAAAAGGTTTGTGGGCTTTAGAAAAAGGCTGTTTATAGGGTTTAAGGGTTGCAGGATTTGTGTTTGTATATTTATAAAAGCCACAAATGTGAAAAACATGCATTGTTCCGGAAGAAGAGAATCTTTTCCGTAGGATTGAAGGCCCGACGATCTTCGCTGCGAAAGCGATCCCCGACCATGACATACAAACATGCGAAGTCCCGAAAGTTCGTCTTCAGTCTGTCTGCAGCTTCGGCAGGAAGGCAGAAATAGCCGTCTGCAATGGGCCATTCCTCCAGTATCTCCTCGAACTTGCATGTCAAATCCA